GGGGGGGCCCCCCCCCCCCCCCGCCAGAGCCAGCTGCTCCCTGCCAGCAGCGTGGGTGCTAGGCTCCACGTTTCCTCCACCCCCAGAGTCCGACCTGGCGCTGATCCAGTCCTACCAGAGCCAGACAGGCCTGTACTATGAGGAGCTGATGGGCAAGCTGCAGCGGGTGAACCGGAGCCTGGGGCAGGTGCTGGGCGCCATGGAGCACTTGCAGAACAGCGTGGAGAGCCGGCTGCAGCACATCCAGAGCGTCCTCGCCTGGGCAGGTGACGTGGGCTGAACGCGGCTGGGCTCCACGCTGGCCAGCCACAGCTCGGTGTGAGGGGGCCTTGGGGAGCAGACACGGAAGTTACCCCATGGGGTAACTTCATCTGGGGTAAGGAGCAGACACCCTGGCCACGCTTGGTGCTATTGCAGCAAGTGGCGACTAGGGAGCAGGGCAGCCCATCTCCTTTGGGGATGTGCCCTGGGCCGGTGGAGCGGACACATGGCTGCCCTGGGGTATAGTTACCCTGGCATAAAGCTGCGTGTGTTTGCTGTTCCTACTCCAGAGTAACCTCCGTCCAAGCCCTCGCTGGCTGTCCCTAGGTTGTTCAATACTGGAGCACTATCCATCTGCTCTTGCCCTTTCCCCTGTGGCTCTAGCTGGTGACCTCCCTCTCTGGGTGGAGTTAGGGGGTGCAGGGACCCTCAGGGCCCCGGTGCCAGCCCAGGAGCAGGCGTGGTGCCCGGAGACGCCTGGCCAACCTTGCTCTCTGCTCTCGCAGGGATGAGCCTGGGGGCCATCTCCACCTGCACGCTGCACGCCGCCTACTTCCTGCTGGCCGCCCTGCTCATGGCCTTCCTGCAGACGCCAGGACTGCCCCGTGCCGCCCTCCTGGTGCTGGTGGCGGCCAACGCACTCTCCGAGCTGCAGCGCGCTACCTCCCTGGGCTTCCCGGCACTCACTGCCCTCCTGGTGCTTGTCATCACGGGTGGGTATGGCCGGGTTCCCTTCCTCCGCTCCTGGGGTTGCCGTGTTTGGGCGGATGTCAGGGTCACGCGTGGACCCAGCAGCCCGAGGTGGGGAAACCTGCACTGCTCCTGCAACTGGGAGCAGCACTGGGCTGACCGTGGCTGCGTTTCCCCCGCGTTATGCAGGGCACTGGCTGCTGACCAGCGTGTGCCGTGGGGCCTGGAGGGTGCAGGGCCAGAAGCCCAGGCTCACCCTGCTGCCCCCTCCCCAGAGAGCCGTGGGGGCCAGGGACGAGCCCAGCAGCCGTAGGACCTCCACCCCAGACAGGTAGGAGGAGAGACCCTTGGGAGCATCGGCCCCTCGGCTACGAGCCAGGGCCCAAAGCGCTCTTGGTCGGTGTCTGGACCAGGCGAGCACCTGGGTGCAAGGTGGGGGCCAGGTGCTCCAGAGGAGATGGGTAGTGCGCTGCTCCCCATCCCTGCCTGTCCTGGGAATCTGCATCTATGGTGGGGGCCGGCGCACAGTACGTAGGGGCTTAACCTCCCTTCTCTGCTAGCCTGGCCTGCCCTGCCAGGGACATGCCCAGGGTTGGGCAGGCCAGCGGTGGCAGAGCCCAGGAGCTCCCAGCTCTGCTCTGTCAGGAGCCGGGTGTCTGTCTGCCCTTGCTAGGGAGTGGCTGGCTGGCAGGGCTCTCCTGGATGAAGGGGTGCTGGGACCCTCTGTTAGATCCCAGACCTGAGCTGGCACTCCTCTCCCCCCACATCCCAACACTTCATCCGTGGGTCCACGTGGGCTTTGCACCCTTTGCCGCCCGGCTCCGTGGCACCTGTGGGACCGAAGGGAGAGCCACTGGCTGCCAAGGGGGCACTGGGGTGTGCCCAGCTCCGTGACCTGGCTTCCTCCCCCGGCAGGGAGTGGGAGACCAGCCTCCTGAAAGAGGAGCTGCGCCAGCTGGAGGACACGAGCTACCTGCCAGGTGAGCGGGGCCGGAGCACACGCCCTGGGCTTGGTGCTCCCCTCCCTGCTGGGCGCGGCGAGGCGGGACCTGGGAGCTCCCGCGAGTGGAGCCGGGAACGAGCCTTAGTGGAACAAACGGAGCAGGCGAGAGATGGAGAAACCAGTCCTGCCTCTCCGGGGACCTGGCTTCCTTTGGAGACCCCTCGCCCACCCTGGTGGGGTCTCCCCAGAGCCCCCGCTCGCTGCTCGGGGGCCAGCTGGACTCTGCTTGCTCCCGGGCCCTGGTTTCTGTGTCCCCGGGCACTGGAGCACTGCCCATGGCTCTATTGCAGACGGTCCCTACCTGGAGCCGGACTCCCTGAGGCCGTCCCCGTCCTCTGCAGCCCCGGGGCCCAGGCTGGGCCATGCCACGAGCCTGCGTCGCATCAGCCTTGCCCGCAGCGCCTGGCACGAGGTGCTGGAGAGGCGGGTAGGTGTGTGGGGCTGTGGGGGAGGCTGGGTCATCATGCTGTCAGCTAAGCTGCCCAGGACCAGGTGGGCACCCAGCTTGCTTGTCACAGCCTAAGTAAGGCCGTGGACACCAGTCAGTCGAACCCCTTGGATGCTGAGCAGTGCTGGGAGGATGGCTGTAAAACAAGTACCTCGGCGCAGGGGCCCCACCACCCCTCCAGCCCATCGGGATCTGTGCACATTGGGTCCTCAGCATCTCTTGGGGTGCTGGGCCCGTGGGCATCGGCTGAAGCAGCAGCCGGTCCTTGGAGTCAGGATGTGCATCACTCCTCTCCCAACAGGCCACACCGGACAAGTGCCATCCAGGCCCAGGCCTCGGCCCTGCCTCTCTGCTACGGTGCTACAGCCCCAACCAGACCTTGGCCAGTGACGCGTGAGTACGTGGCATTGCCACCTCCCGTGCACGGGACCCATCCACGCAGCCAGCTGGGTCTGGCAAAGTGGGGAGCAATGGGGGATGAAGGAGCCTGCTCCCTCGTCCCCTTTCCTGCAGCTCCTGCTGCTCGTCACAAGCCCAGAACCAGCCCACGTCGCATCCAGCTCGTGGCCAGAGATGGGAGGATGAGTCTCGGGGCTCCTGGCCTGACCGGGGCTGTCTGCTCTTGCAGGTCCACCTCCTTGCTGTCTCTGCGGAGCCTGTGCCAGGGTGTCACCAAGGCCGGGCAGCCGTGCAGGAAGAAGGCTGTCCTGGGGCAGGACTTCTGCCACGTCCACGCCTACGGGCACGTGTCCCACGCCAGCTGAGCTGCAGCCTCCCGACTCGCTGCCCCGAGACCCAGGGTGCCAGATCACCGTGACCTATAGAAACTTTTTTTTTTTTTTAAACGCTGCCTCTGGTTTTAATGTGCATGCTTGCAGGCACAGACAAGGGCTCGAGCGTGACTCGGGCGCATGCCCCAGGTTCCTTTGGGCTCCCTGTTTTTGAGGAAGGTTCTTTTAAAATTTTTCCTGGCCTGAACGTTGCAGCCGCGAGCCGTGGGCCAGGCTCAAAACTGGGGCTGGTATGTTTTTGCACTGATTTGGGAGAAGCTGTTCTCTTCCTGCCCATCCCCGGGTGCCGGCCGCGACACCGGGCCTGCAGGCTTGGGGCTTCAGCATGCTGCCTCCGTCAGCTGGCAGTGCTGGTGTCAGGATCGGTGCCTAGGATAAGCTGCTGCCAGGCCCTGACGTTTTAGAGGGAAACCCGCTTTTTGCACATGTTTAATAAATGCCGTTGAGTTACGACTGGGGTCTTTGGTGTCAAAGCGAACTGAGCTGGCCTGGGGAAGGCTGCAGTGTGGACCTGGTGGGGTAGGGGTGGGACACGAGGCTGGATGTCACTCTCCACTGCTCCATTTTGCCTGGCACTGGTGCAGCCTCGGCTGTCGGAGGTGCTGCGGCATGGATGCGACTCGCTTCTCTTTGCCTAGAGAAACTAAGTGGGTGAGTGGGAGACTACTAGAGACGATGCCTTGCTCATGCTGTATGTGGCCAGGCAGCTGCTCTTCCAGCCTAGGCTGTCTCCGGGGACCCCCACACCCCACAGATGGGTGCAGGGGGGCATCCCCGCTGCTCCCTGCTTGAAGAGTGAAGGCACGTGGCCAGGTCGGTGCAGAGAGAGCCTCTCTTCATATCGCCTGGATACGTAAGTGCCCCCCGCCAGAGCGGGGTTTATTCCTATTTGCTCTACCTCGCTGTAACCAGCCTCCCTGGGGTGTCGGGGGAGATCAGCCGGATGCAGCAAAGGGACAGACCCCGTCACAGGGCTGGTGAGAGGGAGCGTGCTCGGCTAAATCCACAGGCAGCTGCTGCTTTTGACCCATGGGGAGTGAAAAATGATGCTGCCACAGCTGATCTCTGCCCTGGGGAACTTGCTAAGCTCAGAGGGGTAGAAGAGCTCCTTGCTGCATTTGCTGCTGCCCGGAGAGGACGTTGCAGCTGAAAGTGTCGGCCCTCCGTGAGCACCGTGGGAAAACCTGGGGGCTTAGAAAGGGGGTGCAGAAGATGTGGCACATGCTCACCTAGACCCCCCACGCACACTTTTCTCCGGTTAAATTAGATGTTTTAGGGGGCTAGCACGGCATTACTGAATTCAAAATCAAAGCAGAAACTAATGCAACTATTGGTATTTGCGCCCCTTTGCTAGATTATCCCACAAGAATGCTGTGAGAGACCATAACAAAAGCCTTGCTAACATCAAAGTACACCTCATCCACCAGTCTCCGCATAGCCACAGAGCCAGTCACCTCATCATAGAGGGCAATCGGGTGGGTCAGGCGTGACTTACCTCTGCCCACATTGTAGGCTTATGTTCATCTTGTGGTCAATGCTGACCCCAAGTCTCTTTCTTCCGTAGTGCTAGCCAGCGCAGCACTGCCGAGCCTATACGGATGCTGCAGGTTTTTCCTCCCAAAGTGGAGAACCTTGCATTTTTCAGTGTTAAACACCATCAAGTTCTCATCCACCCATTTGCTGAGCCCGTCCAGGTCAGCCTGGATCATCCGCCTGTCTTCTGGCGTGGATGCTTTGCCCCAGAGTTTGGTGTCATCGGTGAACTGGGCCAGTCCACTTCTGACTCCAATGTGCACATCATTGATGAAGATGTTGAATAATATGGGTCCAAGGACAGAGCCTTGGGGGACCCCACTGGTCATGGTGCCCTGTGACCAGTGGGGTCCCCCAAGGCTCTGTCCTTGGACCCATGTTGTTCAACATCTTCATCAATAGCATCAGCCCACTCCCTCAGGCTCAAAGATGGACACATGCACATCTGGCCATATACAAGCTTGGCCCCATGGACTTGTATACATCCAACTTTTCTAAGTAGTCCCTAACCTGTTCTTTCACCGCTGTTGGCTGCCCGGTGTAACCCAAAAATTAGACTAATGACTAATAGTTTGTTTCTTATCAGTGGGATGGTTTATTGCTAAGGGTACCGGGGCGTTGTACACTTATTAGAAAGTACATTACTCTCTCACACTCGCACTCATTCTCACATGTATACGCTCTCACAGGTGACACACTTCCATGATCCCAAGGGCGTCGCAGACAGGGTGAGGCAAGTTCTTCCCCCTCTCATTCTTTTTCTCGCCCCCTTTTATACAGTTTACATTGCTGGGAAAAGTTTCTCGAACCCTGTCTCCAAGGCATGCACTATCCGGTAGAAAGGTTCCTCTTACGTAGCCAGCCTGCACCGCTCTTCCTGCCAAGGATGTTTACACAGACAGCTGGCCTCCAGCGGTTTGCTTCTAGGTACCGACACCACTTCCTTTCTCAGCTGTTCCACTTTCTTCATATCATCTGCTGCTGCTTTGTTAGTTGTACACACCACGTTCATGCAGGCTATTGCTTACTTGCCTGTGAGAAAATGCATCACGAATTGGTCAAGGGTCAGCCCTGGTATACTGAGCATGGGCCCTTCAGGCGAGGACATGCAGGCTCAGCTGTCTGTGATGTAATAGTGGCTTGGCTGATTTCTGTAGGATCTTTGTCTCTTTCAAGTGGTGGGTCCATGGGTCTGGGGTGAGTCCATGGAAGCTACGGTCCAGTTGTTGAGCTGATTTGTCAGTAGAGGCGTGCTACCATTGCCTACAAAACCTCCCGCTGCTGTCCTGGAGCCATGCGATCCCCGCAGGAGGGGGTCAGGCCTCTCCCAAGGGAGCTGGGGGCTTTCCTCTGAAGCATCAGCTAGGGGGGAGGAAGGGGGCTGCACCCCACAGTTGTCCATGCAGTCCTGCCTGCTGCGGAAGAGGTGGAGGTTGCTAATAAGGAGCAACATGGTGAAGGCACTCAACAGAGAGCTGCTGAGGATGACGAGGTTGTACGAGGGCAGCGGGGTGTCCCTTTGTTCGTCTGCCTTGTGCAGCAGGCTGCTGATCCTCACCTTCACGTAGGAGAAGAGGCCCAGCAGCAGGATCCACGACAGCACCTGCAGGAGAAGCCATATCAGCCACTGCCCATGCAAGCCACTGCCACCCAGCTAACGGCAGGGGCATTGGCATTGGCATGGTGAGGTGGGGTGGGTGAGGGCATGATGACCATCCTGGCCTCAGAGGCTTCCTGGCTCTGCTGAGATGGAGGTAGAGCTAGGAGTTGGGGCTGGCCCCGTTACCCTAAGAGAGGCACTTGCCAGGGAAACCCCTGCCATTGGGAAGCAGATGGGTGGTACCCAGGGCGGCGCAGGGGCAGATACCTCCCCCCTCCCCCGCAGGCACCCTACTGCCCCCAGGGTACTCCTGGTACTCACCACCAAGGCACCCCCCATGCTGCTCCCTACCAGGGGCGGGCAGGGGCTGAGAGCTGCCAGCACTATTGGGTAAGCTGCAAGCAAGCATCCCAGCAAAGAGATGGTGCTCAAGACTGCCACCGACCTAGAGGCAGAGAAAGGACAAAGGGGTCAGCCAAGTTTCGTAGTCGGTCAGGTCAGAAGGGACCTGAGCAGATCATCAAGTCCGACCCCCTGCCATGGCAGGAAAGAGTACTGGGGTCAAACGACCCCTTCAGCGAACTCAGGCACTTGGTCAACGATGCACTGCAGAGTAGGAGATTTGGTGAGCTGGGAGCCCAGGAAGGGTGGCTGCGCCTTAAGGAAGCGATCCTTCGGGCACAGAGGGAGACGATGCTGCAAGAGAAGGTGGAGAGGCGACATTGTGGCTGCCTATAAATTCATCATGGGGGCGCAGAAGGGAAGTGGTGAGGCTCTGCTCACCCAGACACCCCTGGGGGGTCACAAGAAATAATGGCCGCAAGCTAGCAGAGAGCAGCTGTAGACTGGACATTCGGAGGAACTTCTTCACAGTTAGAGTGGCCAAGGTCTGGACTGGGCTGCCAAGGGAGGTGGTGCTCTCCCCTACCCTGGGGGTCTTCAAGAGGAGGTTGGATGGGCATCTGGCTGGGGTCATCTGAACCCAACACACTTTCCTGGCTATGCAGGGGGTCGGACTTGATGATCGATTGAGGTCACTACCAACCCTAACATCTATGAATCTATGACCCTGGCTAGGTGATTATCCAGGCTCTTAAAGCGCCCCGGGGTAGGAGCCAGCACCACTTCTCTTGGAAGTTGGTTCCAGACCCTAGCCGCCCTGACCGTGAAGTCGCGTCTCCTGATGTCTAGCCTGAATCTCCCCTCTGCCAGCTTGTGAC